CCCGAGATTCCCGCCTCGACATTACAAGGCCTTCGGCAAGCAGGCACATACTCAGTCCCGAACACATTCCTGTTGCCATGATAGTTTACCAAACTTTGGGGTTGACCAATCCTTGTGATCTGAACAGCTGACCAAAAAGTGTTTCAGCGGGCATTGAGAGAATATTGAGTCAGATCACAGTGAGACAACGAGTTCACACGATCGAGCAATGAAGCGATTCCCAACACGCGATCTCCATTAGGCGAAAAGCTTCCAATAAGGAACGGATAAGCTCCGTAGATCCCCGACTACTCTCACACAACGCAATTCTATTCATCATAATAAATCATCTCCCTGAGACCATCTTTGTTTGCCTGTCACCTACTACCTACAATTGCATTTCTGATCTAAGAGACACCAAAACATTGAACACCGTGTTTTTATGATTTGCAAATAAAGTTCCGTTTATTCATTCACTTGTTCGCTTCAACTATTCACGGGGTCACCAAACACCGAGCGTTAAAGCGATCCGATCGATACAGCGGGAAGATTCAAGGTCAACCGGTTGTTGTATGGTCATTGTGCGTATCTATATAATCGGATAAATCACTTGTCACACGCCTCCTTGAAGCGAGTGAAAAGCATCATTGCACTGTAGCTACACCACAGTATTCGATTAATCATTTATTGACTAACTGTACTACTTTCTCACCTCTCCAGCATGGTAGAAAAAGATGTTTATCTAAACTGTGCTGCTGTTCTAATCGGAACAGTCGTGATTACTCTTGAACGATTGTTTCGTGTGTTTTTGTTTCACAGAGAAGAAAAAACCTCAAGTTAGAAATTGCAGACTATTCACATCCAGCACACCACATAAACAACCAATCGGATATTTCGACCTCGCCGATCGGTGCCACGTACGGCACACACACACACAAGCACACAGAAATGCGTGCACATACCGGGAACAACACAGCATTCCTGGATCAGTTTTGGGGATAACTTGGGCATGGGGACACGGAACCAGCGGGTAAACACAAAGGGGTCAGGTATTGATGGGCAGATAGGTAGACAGGCAGACAGAGGAAGACAGACAAACCGACAGATAATCAGTCAGGCACCCACAGTGTCGATCTCCTGCCGAGAGGATCACCAATGGTCAACACCGGATGCACTCGGGTGCGTCCACACACACACACGCACGCGTAAGCTACTCTGACTGTGTATATGTGCCTGGTCGTGGGCGTCGGTACGATCAACGGCCGAAGTACCGGGCCACCGTAGAATCTGGGCATGTGGAGAAAGTCCAGGTACATTGTTCTTCTTGTTCTTGTTGTTGCTTTCGCCGTTGCTGGACGAACTGTCCGTGGCCATTCTCAGTCGTTCGGTGTCAGTTACGGAACGGATGACGGAGTTTAGACCTCTCCTCCCAGCCTCGGACACGTGATCATATCTCTCTGTAAAACAATAGTACTGTTGTCTCTACAGCCCTTTTCTCTGGCGTCCAATGTGTATTTGGTCACCACAATATTGGCACTGATGGCTCAAACTGATCAGCGCAGCGCAGGTATCACGACCAGTACACACCAAATAAATATTGGCCTTGCACCTTCTGATCACAACGGTGGAATGACCGCTCATCGGCCTTTTTTTCGGGGCTTATCTTCTTCTCCACCTCCGATAAGGGCAGCTAAATTGTTTGATGAGTACGGTGGTTTGGGTGACAGAACGCCGCAAAGGCAAAACAGTTGGATTATTCGACGCCAGCCACTCCGACTAGATTCCAGAAACTGTGGCAATGCGTATGGCAGTTGTTCCGATGCATACACCACCACTACCAGGACCAACAACAACAACAGCAACAACGACAACAACCGATGCATTCACATTCATCCCTCTGCCTCTGACCTGTGCCCCGCACGTAGTCATACTGACGTGGACCGATGTGATCGATCGATACACACGGTCGCTCTCACCGGACCAACAAAGGCCGTCTCCATTCTGATTGGTGGAGCAGCGAAATCTGGTTTGCCACAATCAACGAATCCGAGCGAGTGTACACGAAATTCGCGTGACTCACCCAGACATGTCCCGGTCTCGCCATCACCACGCGCGTTGCATGGCCTTGGCATAACGGTCGATAGACCGTCGATTTCCATCGCGAACAGTGCCAACAGTGGTCTACAGTTTGCCATACACCCAGTGGCCAGCTCGCCATCGCTCGTTCGTCATTCTGTGTCCCCCGTCACTGTCGGAGTGAGCGCAACTGGGACCGTCGTGCTCAGTCGTGTTTCGGATAATTCGGCTCCCGTGAGACAACAAATCAAGAACACCCCGTTTGTGAATGTTGCACGTATTCAACGACGGAATAGCACAGCCACATGTCTTCCTCCTCGACCACGGTTTGAATTCGAACCGTTAAACAATAACGTTCGCAATGGATCTGCCCTGGTTCGTATCTCAACCACACAGGGCCGTGGATTAGTTGTGACCGCTTCATCTGTGCGTGGACTACAGTTTCACACTCCATCTCGTGTAATTCGATTTGCCTCTCCTCCACCACCGCGAGAGAATCTGATTCGTCCGTCCGGTTCGTGTGATAGTTTGCTCACTGATCGACTCGATTCCAATTCGATTACTGTCGACCCGGCCGTGACCCAAACACAGGCTGTTCACCACACAGTTCTTCGCACCAACACCACCGGCACTAGTTTTCCCGGGGTTGGTGAAGTTACCTCTTTTGTCACCCGACGTCCAGTATCGCATATTATTCTACGTGACAGCTCAATTGCTGCACTAAATTGTGATATGCCAAATGTACCACCGTCTACCGTCAACGTCGGTGTAGCAAAGGCCAACTGTACCCCACAGACTCGTGCCCCTGTCGCTCGGGGATCAATGTCCGGGGATCGTGTGACCCCGTCCACAGATGCCTCAGGCAATGTGGTACGCGTCTCTCCGATCACGGTAAATTCCCCAACTGCGCATAAACCCTTGCCTCCGCATGGGCGCACAGGCCCCGTGGAACCCAACCACGGACGTCACAAGACTAGCTCAAAACAAAGCCAATATTTTCGTGTTCAACTGCCTTGCACTCGGGCGGCCTCGCGATCCAAAGGATTTGTGGTCACAGACAGCCTGAAATTATATGAGGATCAGATTTTGAACTATTGCCAAACGGCACAACAACGCCCTCAGTCCTGGTGCATTGATTTCGGCGCTTTGAACGATGAGCTGACTCTGATCGATGATTCGAACTCCGGTTCGCCGGCCTCCACTGTTTCATCCTCCTATTCATCTTCTTCCTCATCGGACGCTTCACAAAGCCCGTCGTTCTATTCGAGACCGGGCATGAAACAACCTCAACATTCCAAACCGGGTAAGTTCCGATTTCGGGTGTACGATTTAGTTATGGTCTCGTGAAAATGAAACTGGATCAATATTTTCGAGAAAGATCCTCCGATGTAGTAGTACGCATAGTTTCAACTGCGTTGATGATAATGATTTGTGCCTGAATGTGCGAATGCGAACAGAGATCAATAATCGTCCCTTAAATGTGATTCTGTTAGTTTATAAGTTGTTCGCCCTTTTTTCGGAAACAGATGACGAGGTATATTTTTGTGACAGATGGTATACATGTGGTGCACCCATTGGATTAAAGACTTTGTTCGTTTCCACCAACGCACTCACTGCACGAGGGCATTAATCCCATCACGAATCTCGGTTGATAGATAGAATAGATCAATACATATAGCTGCCTGAGACAGCTAACTCTATCCCGGCGAACCAATCTCTCGATCGCATTGTTGCCCCGCTTCTGGAATGTTCGTCTGAGACATTTGTAATGTTG